CAAGCTACAGGGGCATAAGTTGCACCAGGTTGAATATTTTAAACGAAAATGTCACCAACTCAAAATACAAAACGGCATCAATTTGGAGCAGAGAGCACCAAATTTGATTAAATTTATTCAATAATTTAGGATATCAAAGCATCCCACTATTTCTTTTTAAAGCTCTTAAAATAGGTTAAGATTTAGGGCAAAGTAACATTCAATTCAAGGGATTACCCTAGCGGGCTTCAAAGAATTAGAGGTCCAAAATTAGACACGGTTCCCGAAAAAATCTTCAACGAAAGATTTGATTGATTTCGTGATGGCACAAAAAATCTGATAAATGAATGATTCACTAAATTTTTTGCACATCAAATAGCTGCTGCACATAAAGCATAGCAATAATCTTTCAGGTTACCGCTGATGAGAAAATACTTTATGAAAGAAATGCCGGTTGCTGTGTAAGAAGTACAGAATGTTCAGACAACAATTATTTTAAATTTTTTTTTATATATATTTTTCAAGTTTAGGCCGTTTTTTAGAATGCGGCGTGGGCGGAGAATCTAAAAAACTTTTAGAGGATAAATACTGGTCTTAATTGACCACAGCTATTTTTCAAAAAAGAATTATCAAAAAAAAATTCAAACACATAATAGCCTAAAAACTTTTCAAATTTTTTAAACAATATTTTTTTTTGCTGAGCGCTTGTTTTTTTTGCACACCAGGAATCTTCATGAGCTTCCGACCGGTTTTCTGCGACATTGAGAAAAAAATTTGGAAACTTAAGAATGTCGTTCAAATCTCGATAGAAAAGCCTGAATATAAAAATATCACTCGACCCAATCTGATTTTTTCGTTGTACCTAATTTTGCGTGGAAAAACTTTGGAAAAAACACCAAAGTCAACTTTCATAACTAATTTATGGATCTGGACAAAAACAGAGTTTTCCAGGTTCTTATGCGTTTTGAGAATTAAAGCTGAAACCAAAAACTAAGGGCAATCGATAGTAAATCAAATTCACTAGCTCAAAAGCATCATTTCGTCAATCAAAAAATGTCACACGTTTCGCAAAAGAAAATGTTTTACTTTAATCACAGCGGCAGGGCCTCGGACAAACTAGCCAGCATTTTCACCATCCCTCTCCTTACCTGTATTTATTTTTTCTCGGATCAGTTCTCTGGTTTCTTTTGAGTAGTCATGAGAGACACTAATGTTTTTGTAACAATTGTCGGCTATTTTCAAGTTTTTCAGAACTGCAAAAATTGTCGCTTTTAGTTCTTTGTGCTCCATGACTAGTTTTAAGGGCCTGCTTTTAATATAAGTTTGATCATTTGCATTGGAGTCACCGAGCCTAATGGCGCTTTTCACTGTGATTTCTTCGCATTGGAGTCCATTTCGACAGAAGTCAAGGAAGAAGGATAAATCATCGTCTTGTCTTTATTTTGCAATCAGTTTTTTTTGCCCTCAGGGACTCTGAAAGGTACCACATTTGCTTCTCTTTTCTCGTTTTTCTTTGTCCTGTTACTCCAGTGTTTCTCGCACGATCTCTTTTCATTTTGGAGGCTTTGAATGAGACATGTTCCATGAGTTTTTATCTCTTGAGGAATGTCGACTTGCTTAGTAAGAACGTTGTCTAGTTTTTTTTCGAAAGTGTTCCGCATGGACTCTGGCTTTGAGTCTATTTGTTTGTCGATAGCTACAGAGATCTTTTGCAGTGAGTTAGCGTTTTCTGCTACTTTTTTCTCAATTTCCTCAATTTTAGTGATCGATTTCCAATCCTCTTTTAACACCTTCTTCCCTTCAACTGCACAGTTGGGGCATAGCCACAGAATTCCGCTTATGTTTTCAATTGCTGAAAGCTAGTTCAATGGTAAATTTGAACAGTTACCACCATGAAACCAAGTTCCACAGTAGATACACTGGAGAGAGCATTCACCACAAGGGTATTTTTCGACATTTTTTAAATCAAGTCAGCCTTCCCACCAACTACATTCCAGACTACCAATTTGGTTTCCAGAGAGGCAAATCACCATTGTCTCAACTTCTCTGCTATCTCCACGATATTTAAAAAGGAATAGAGAACCAGGAATCAATTGTCGAAGCAGTGTACCTCGATTTCTCGAAAGCATTCGACAAGATAAATCATCAAATACTTCTGAGTAATTTACATCACATTGGTGTGAGAGGCCGCCTTCTAAATATTTTAAGGAGTTATCTTTCGAATCGCAGACAATATGTACAAATCGGCGACACGATGTCCACCTATCTTTTCATAACAAGCGGAGTGCCTCAAGGTTCACTTCTCGGGCCACTGTTGTTCCTTGTTTATGTTGCTGATATGAACGTAGGTGTTCAGTCACTGCCTTATATGTTCGCGGATGATACTAAATTTTTGTCTCTGAGAAACTGTATGGCTTCTTGTTTACAAGCCGACTTGGATGTTCTTGCGAATTGGTGCGAGGCGAACCAAATGCTATTCAACTATGACAAGTGCCACCTCATCTCGTTTGGGAGAAAAAGGTCCAACACAAGCCTTAACATACTGGGTCAACCACTTTCCCGTGTCAATCAAGAAAAAGATTTGGGCGTCATTCTCAAATGGAGCATCAACAGCATCCACTTTACAACAGCATGCAGAAAGGCAAACTTTATGCTTTCACTTATCAAACGCAACAGCTCTCCGAGTTTGACATGGCATCATAAATTAAACATGTACAAGTCAATGATAGTCCCTATTATTATGTACGGCAGTTGTGTTTGTTTTACATCCAAAACCGACTTGAAGACAATCGAACAAGTCCAACGTAGAGCGACGGATTGGATACTTGGCTATCCTAATACAAGCTACAAAACCCGACTCAAGACTCCCAACATCTTGCCGATATCGATGAATATGCAGATACATGACGTCTTAACGCTTTCTAAAATATTGGACAACAAATACACTTCGACTGGAGAAGGTTTCTGTCTTTCAATCAACCAAGTTACAACACAAGAAGTTCCTCATTACAACTATTCAGTTTACCCATTCTTAAGCTCGAAGTTAGTCGTGGAAATTTCTGGTATCGCACACCGAGACTCCTGAATATCATCAGTAAGAAAATTGACGTCTCAAACAATGGTTTGAAAGGAAGACTTTTACACTTCTTTTGGCAGTATTTCAACAACTTCTTCGATGTCGATAGACTGTGCACATGGAGGTTTGCCTGCATGTGCTCTGGATGCCGTGATACTCTAAATTAACTCTTTTGTTTTGGGATCACTCCCTGCGGTTCTACCGCGAAGCTTTAATAATAATAATAATGATGATCATAATAATAATAATCGTAATAATAATAATAGTAATAATAATAATAATAATAATAATAATAATAATAATAATCATAATAATAATAAGGATTTAGAAGTCCGTTTTGATCCAAAGAGGATGTTATTCGAAAGCTCAGCCTCCCCACCAATTAAGGATTTAGAAGCCCTTGAACTAGACAGAAGATCGAGGGTAGGAAGAGGGGGGAATAAACGGTTCAGAAGGGGGGCATTCTTCATCCGGTAGGTAGTAACTGTGTTATTGATCAGGTCGTGCCACATCACAATATATCTCCTTCTTTCTTAATAGGGTATTGCTCTGATTGTGTTTCTCAGCGAGCTTGCTCCGATGATAAATACCATTTACATACAATGCCGGTCACTATTACATAAGTTTATCATATCAATAAGGCTAACTAATTTTAGGAAATTTATTTTTAAAAAAGTGAAAAATTGTTCCAAAGAGTCTCAAAAAAATGAAAAGAACAACCAAATCCCCTACATTTTCATCATACCTACTTTTATCTAAGAGTAATTTCAGTTCCTCAATGAATCAACACCATAGGACTTTTTTGCAGAGTTGTGAATGATAGAGCGAGGCATGGCAAAAAAAACAATAGGCCATATGTTAATTTGATCATGAACTCGAATATAAAATTAACCAAAAGTTTAGGGATCAACAAAATAGGAACTAATTGCATGTGAGCCTCATAAAATAAGGTAACGTGCATGTAAACAATGCTTTATTACAGAATTCCAACATAACGCTATCAAAAAACATTTTTTCGCTGAAGGATTGGATTGGCGCGAACTATGAAATAGAAGATAAGCAATCCCACATAAACTTAGCGCAAACATTACAGCCTGGAACCAAACTAAATAAACCTTTTAGTTGATGTTGCATTAATTTTGTGTCAGTTAGAAATTTCAATTGCCAATAAGATTTTAATAAACGAAAACAAGCTGTAAGTTAGCCATTTTCTAAATAAAAAGTACATTTATGATTTTGTCGCATTAAAAAGTCTAATATCGGTTGCAATTCACTCGGTTTTGCAAAAGTATCTGCGCATTGAAAGCATTGCAGATATAATGCCTAGAAACAAAACATCAATTTCTTTCTATCAGTTCTATTCGCTGTTATCAGATTACTACCTGTGACTCTTCTTCCTCAATTACGATGCTCTTTATGCTACTTCTGCTTTCTAAACGACAATAAGCCTAAGCCATGTCAGTACGCCAAATAGAACAGATTGAAAAATTGGAACAGTTTTTGGAATATGAAAATAAAGATGACGACAATTTTTAAAAATTTATATTGATAAAACTTACGAGTGGGATGGAAAATACCCCCCACAGTACCACCGAGTAAAATTACACTATAAAGTTGGTTAAAAATGTTCATAGGGCAATTTGCAAGAAACAAATGTGGTTAAATTTGTTCGCTTGCTTACACTGACACGCTTCAATGCAATTTATATCATCAAAAAAAAAACATTTCCAAGCGGCTGTCGTGAACAAATCTCAGTTCGAAAAAGGGGTAACTCCAAAAGCGCATGATTCACGATGTTCAGCATATACCTTTTATTTCCTACTTTACAATACAAAGGTATCATAGTAACCGAGGTTACAGTCAGGAGTCCCTAAGGTATCCCAGTCAGGAGTTTCATCCATTTAGGAAATGAGGTGTTGCAAATAATGATGAAACATTTACTTACCGGGTAAATAGGGGTTGCATTATCGTGGATAGAAAGCACATACGAAACTTTATTCTTCTTCAGTTGATCATAATCTTTACTATCTAAAAAAAACAATTAATATAATTGTAACTCCTTGAACAAAAACTATTTCAGCATGAAAATTAAAAAAAAATGTGGCACCTCGCAGATTTCCCAGATATAGTCCCGGCAGAATCTGAAAGAACAAAAAAAATAAACCCATAATTTTAAACTTAACCAGTCAAGTTCCAGGAAAAATCTTACCTTGCTCATCCCATTTCCCATTCTAAATTTGTGAAAAACCTATAAGCAATAACATTAAAGAACGAGAGATATTCATTGGATTTATTCTTCGAAAAAATCTGGTTTATGTTTTACCTTTTTCAAGGCTGCAATTTTCTTTTCTTCTTCCTTCTCATCTTCATTGAACATAAAAATCAAAAAATAAACGTATTTATCAGAAAACTAGTATAATTTTGAGGTATTTTGGCAGTATTAAACAGACGTTTGGGGGATAATTAGAAACTTTATACTATTTTTGCTTTTTTTTAAGCATGCCTGAAAAAGTTTTGTATCAAACGAATTCTCCACAAGGCATAAAAAAAACGCACGTGCAATATAGTTGATGTTTTTGCCTTCTGATTTCTACATTTTGAAAGAGAAAAATCTAATTTTTTTTTCAAGTATAACTACGGGTGAAGGCTTTTTTGCCCCCCATTGAGTAAAACCAAGTCATGAGTCAACAACAACTGACGGAATCTCAGCTACCAATTACTCACGAAGTGCTGATTGAAACGGAGACAAATTTCAGAAATGCGCTAACAGCAAACAAATCGACGACACAAACAAAACAAATCCAAATAATCAAAATCATCCCCCCATTCTCGAGAGAAATTGTAAGGTCAACTGAAAATCTGGCGCAGGCATATCGAAGTTGTGCTTCCGATATACTTAAACAATTCCCCACAACAATGCAACAGAAGATGACAATCTCAAAAACAATAACCGTGACGAAAGATGACCGCAAACTTCATACACTGACAGTTATTGCTCCCCCCGAAGCAGAGCAATTCATAACTAGCATCAAAAGCGAAGGAATCGTTCTACTTAACAGGACGGTATTTCCCATGGGATGCTTTCCAAGGTCTCATAGACCCAAGAACATTTACCCTAAACTAGCAAAAATCAAATTGTCGAACTTGCCTTATGTATGCAACGATATCGAAGCGAAATTAATTCTCCAATTGCCAGAAGACATAATTCATAGCCCCATATTCCAACGTGAGACCTGTATCGTAGCTGAACCGGGTCAGTATGTTTACACAGGAAGAGCAATTTTAGAAGTTAAAATACAAAACGAAGAACAAGAGAAAAAGCTGAAGGACTGGTCTTATAAATCGAGAATGGATGGCTTCAAAATGTGGGAAGGTGTAGAAATCTCATTTCACAAACCTTCACTACATGAATGTCAAAAATGCAAGATGTCTGGACGCCAAGAAAAAGGTCATCACGATGATTGGTGTAACATAGGGAACCAAATAACCAAAAATCCAAATAATTGGATTAGTTTATCACTAAACTAAATTGGATAAGTTTATCACAACAATTTAGCCTAATTGTTGTGATAAACTTATTAAATAGATTTGTTATGTTTGATGTTTGTGCCTGTATGTGGAGCGCCCTCTGAGGGATTTTAGAGACAGGTCTGTCGAGTGGCTTTCTGTGGGGAGGTGGGGAACTGGAACTGGCTTGAGAAGTCTGGTGGTGCGCCGCTGAACCTGCTGAGCTCGGGTGAGATTGTTCCTTGTTTTTGATTTTTAACCTTTATGCTGCCTTTTAACCTTTTTAATTAATTTAGTTGTCTTTTTTTTTTATTTGCTGATTTGTAAAATTCCCACTAACCGCTTATCTGTAACATTCGCCCGGAAGATACATATCGACGGATAACAAAACTAAGTCTTAAGACGACTGGCTAGCGTCTAAACAGAGCTTTGCATGTTTTTCACCGTCTCTGCCAAGCCAGTACTTTTCGGTGGTCTTTCTTACATCGGGTCGACAAAAACGTTACTGTTCTCCGGCTTCGTCCAGAACGCTCAAATTAACTGAATTACATGCAAAAATAGTGAGCTCATGGCTGGGTCTCAGTATCCCCAGACCACGAGGTCACTCCTAAAAACAGGGCTACTACTTATTATATTACTATTGTTTTTGTTCAGTAGATAAAAATCATCATCTCCATCGAAGATGGATCAACCCTTTCCCCCAACTCCTAGCACCTCATCCTTGTCAAAACTAATCCAAATATCAGTTAAATTCAAGTCAGGACATGACAGGATGCTAAAAGTTTATGTGAGTTAATAAAAGTTTCCGTCCCGAGACCCTTCCGGATTCTTGAATCCGCCGAATCAAGCTCCTTACTCTTGATTTCTTGCTAATCCGGAAGGCTGGTTCTCACCCTTCACCGTTGTTGGCAACGGCCTTGCAACTATTGTAGCAGCACAATAGTTGCAACTCGGAACGTTCTCTGCTATTCTGTAGTTCGTTGTCGTTCTCCAATCTCAATTTTCGTACTGTTCGCAATCGCAGATAAAAGTTGTTCTGTTTTTCACTCGCTTTTTGTTAAAATGGCCGTTTCAGCATTTCTCAGAAATGTGACGTCATCATTCGAATTTTTGAAAATTTAAAATACTAGAATATTCTAGCCCTCACCGTTTGGCCAAACGTTCCAATAACGTCGCTAATCCTTCGAAATCATCAACTCGGAAGGCTTACTGCTCAAAATTCGAATCCTGCTTAAATTGCATTTTGGCCATTCTGGTCGAATGTCACATACTCCCCGGACAGTCCGGTCAATGTCCTCATTGAATCGCGCAATGTTCTAAATGGTTACAGTGTCATCGAACAGAATTTACAAAATGCACGAAATTACTTTTACCTACGTCACATCGACTCACTGCAGAATATAAATGGCATCATACTACATCACTATAGCCTTCAAATTCTTTCATTAATCTGCACATTGAGGATATGACTTAAGATAAAACATATTTTCTGACTTCCAGTGTCAATGTCCCGATTGAAACTTTTTCTCCTAGATTTAAAAGGTGTTGGCTTGCAGGACAGTCCTGCCAACCAACAAGCTAAAATTATCCTACTATGCTCCTTCCCTTCGGAAATCTTGCTTGTTTATTGTCCTGAATATTAAAACCAAGAGACCTTGTGGTTAGAAAGAACAATGCAACAACCTCCCTCCTCAAGAAGTTACTCAAGTTTTTCATGTCACCACAAAGTGATCAGTCTTCCTAAGTGATTAAAAACAATCATGCAGGCTGGAATATTTAAATATACTCTTCCCTCAAGCCTTTCTAAATAAATAATAAGTGAGTGTCTCTAAAGCCACTTCAACTAAAACCAAAATGCAAATTTATAAATGCAACAATTTCAAAACTCAACAAAAATGTTTCAGTTTTCAATTACAACTTGGTTGCTTGGTTTCTCATTTGCGTTTTTCACACACATAAAACAATTCTGAGTTTTAACTTTTCTTCATCATCCCTTTGTTCTCTTCTTTTTTCGTCGTTTAGAAGTTCTAAAACTTCTAAATTCTTCTAATTTTCTTTCTTGCTGCCTCTTGTTTTCTCGACCATTCGTCAATGCTCCATTTTCTCCTCCTGTGACGCTGACTCCGCACTCTCGGTTTCCGTGTCTTGTAGCACGTCATTGACTATCCTGACGCTGTTGGAAGCCGTCCTCCAACACTTCTGCTCTTCCACCCTCTGCTTACAGCAAGGTAGGGGATCCACGTTTGATTCTCTGTTTCTACAGAAGCTGTTGTGGAGACACAACGTCACGTTTCTCTCCAAATCTTCTTTCAGCATCTCTGCCTTCTCATTTCCACTACGCTCGCTCGTCCTGGAAATTCTTTTCACAGCGGTGGTCACTGCATTCCGATGGGTCACGAAAGCTCGCTTGAAAGCTCCTGCCCCAATGTCCAGCTGATATTCACTGTACACTCTGCCATGTTTCGACATATGCTTTTTCGCATACTCGTACAACCATGCAGTCATGTTAGCTCTGAACCATGGCATCAATCGTTTTCTTGCCCATATCTTCTTCACTTCCATCGGAATGTTTAGAACTTTGCACATTGTCTCAAAAAGATCTAAATCTTTTAGACAATCTAATTTCTGCAATTGTCCTCTCGTCGGTGCCTCCTGTCTATTATTTTCTCTCACATGAGCTTCCAGCCATCGTATCGCCATCATAACTCCCACTATCACTATTGTTATGGGCTGTGATGAATCTGGTAAACCCATGGAGAGCAACTCTCCAGAGTCCCAGATCAACACCAAATTACTACGCTTGGGATACCACCAGGTCTGCAGCAAGCAGTGGCAAGGAAACTCGTCATGTGTCAACATGATGCTCCTCCAATTGCGTTTTCCTGAAGCTTCCAGCAATGGTTCCACTTCCATCATCACTCGGTGGATTTCATCATTCTCATCTACTGCATTGTAATCTGTGACAGTTGATCCTCTCTGTTTCTGTTTTTCAAAGTCACTGAAGTTCCCGCTCACATATCCCATGAACTTCTTTCCTAGTATTGACTCCAACTCCTCTTTGGTTCTCTCTGGAACTGCTGAGAACATCTTACATAGTAACTCGTAAGACTTTTCAGACATTCTCGCCAATCTCACGCACTTTGGCACTGAGAAAGCTTGATCCACGATCGTTCTTGTACTCTTCACGTCCACAGCCACGAAATGTACAGGGTATCTGCTCTTGCACATTGGGGCCAACGTTGAACCCACCAAATATCGTGCTCCTGATGGTCTACAATAAGTTTCGCTGTGTCTGATGTTCATCTCCGTTTCGATTGCTTCCCTCCATTTTCCTATATACTTCTGCTCAGTCTGCAGAACTCCTGGGAATACTTCTACGCCGATGGCTGTGACCATCTCATGTTTCTGTTCTAGATTCAATAGTGACTCTAAAGAACCAAACATGCTGTAGAATCCTAGTGCTGTCACTAGATTCACATCGGTTCCTCCATGGCAATCTGCTATCAGTTCAGTTAAAAAGATATTTATCCTAAAATTTATTAAAATCAATTGGTTTCTAAAATTTTGGAATTCGACCTAAGATTGGACAGTCCAAACTTTGGATCTATTCCCAAGATCGTCATTTAGTTGTTCATGGTCACTAACGCTTACTTACCCATGATCTTAATAACCTAACACATAACATAACATAACATAACCTAACACACATATCACATATTACATGCAACTTGGTCTTTGGCCTAACACCCTCTCGCTCATCACTCAGCCTATACTTAAGTAATATTTCTTATGTAGATACACTTGTATGTTCGTATCAGAGAATATCACGTGTACAAGCGCGTACAATTCCCGAGGATGCAGTCTTCCTCTATTTGGATCGTACACTGGAAGCGAAAGCTCCTTCACGTCCATTTCCACAAGGAAGTCCCTCAGCCTCGTCAAAGAC